TTGGGACAGCAGCAATCCCACCCCTGCATCTCTTTGCACTGACAAACCACGACTTGCAAAATCCACATACAGCAGCCAAAAGGGGAAACTTTGCCTTGCAAGGTTGCAGGAAGAATCAGTCTGAGCTGGGTCATTCTGGTCACAGCTTATGGAGCACCCAACTACACACAGCTGATAAAAACAGCAGGATTACACTTTTAGGTAGTGTGGTTCTCCCCCCACCCTGGCTGGCTGCTGCCTACAGCTGCCTTGGGCAGGATGCTCAAGCTGTGATACAGTGCCTGCTTCAAAGGGGGCCAGACCCATCCTGCATTGGCTTTTTTAGGCATTTTTTTACATTTTTACCAAAGACACTGAGAAAATAAATAGGAAAAGTCTGTGGTTCAGTCAGTCAGGTGAAATATTCAGAAGCAGATTCAGCTAAGGAGCTTCTTGGAAAAACTAAGGTAACCATGCACAAGGCTGCATCCCTCTTCTTGTTCAGATCAGCAGTCATAAAAAAGAGGACAGGACCAAGTTAACATTAGTGGGAATTTTTTTTTTGGGGGTTTGTTCCCCTGTCTCCTCCATGAAATTTCTTTCCCTACTATGAAATTCCACTGGAGTCTACTTTGTTTCTGTTGTTCTATTTAGATGGGTGCTCTCTACCTGTAGTGATGCAATTCTAGTTATTCTGATTTTCATATATGATTCAGTCCTAAAATAAACCCTTTAAAAATTTTATTTTATAGTTCCAAGCAATACTGCTGATATGACATACTGAGAGTTACATTTGAAGTCTTAAATGGTAACATGAGATTACTGAAAAAACAAATTTTTAGATGGATGAAAATTATGTGAATAGATTGTTATGGTTTGTAGTAGTTAAAGTTGGAAGTTATAGAAATAGTCTATGAACAGATTACTTGGATATAGGTTTGCAAATTTCCTGCTACAGTAAACAATGTCTGTTTGGTATTTTACAGACTATACAAATTCTGACAATAAGAAAATACTGATTAGTGCAGACTTAAATGAGTAATTGTTTTCAACAGTTGATTTTTTTATTTTTATAATTTTGCATTAGCACCTTACTGCCAAAAAGAAAAAAAGTGAAATACTCTGACATGCTAGTGGCCATTCACAAGCCACAGAGAGATGAAAAACAGTTTTTAATACCACCTTTTTCTTTTCAGGCCTTCTCTAAAATGCTTCTCCTTACCCAAAAATCCAGTGGTACACTTTGTCTTTTCTCCCAGGACAGAAGTTTGGCCACTATAGTAAATCAACAAGAAGCTTTTTCTTTTTAATTGGAAATTCAAACAGCAACAGGAGACACAGACAGGACTGTGACTTAGTGAATATGACTGTGACTTGGGCAGAAGACATGAATGCAGTGGGCTTTTTACCAATGCACTGAAGAGACACAGGCCACCCACTCAGGAGATGCCAGAGCTGCTCGAGCCTTCTTACTTATTACTCTGAAACATTTTCTTTATGGAGTTGGCAAAAGCTAGCTAGTGATTTTTAGCTTAAATTATTAACTGCTCTGGGGACAAGTTAAGCTGCATTTGCCTGTGAGTAAGTTACACTATTAAAAAATAACTAGCAGAGCCCTACTTTAAAGCTACTGCTATTTTTATCTGCGAAACCAAGGGAGTTCCCTCCTGTTGAGAGGGCATGTGAGCTCAGCACTGCCATTTGCTGCACTGGGAGCCTTCTTCACTTTGGAGAATCTGTGGAGGGGGAGATCCTCCTGCACACACATCCTGCATTTGAAGCCAGCTGAAATGTGGCTCATGAGATTGTGATTCTTTGAGGTGACCCAGGATGAACCTGCTGTAGGCCAGTGGAACTAATCCTATCCTGGAAATGAAGGAGGGCACTTTTACAGCCCTCTCTGCATAAACACCCCCTTTTAGGCATCCTATAAAAATGCAATGGCTGGTATTGCCCCTAGTTCTAGGGGGATAGTAAATTTGTGGGTACCAGAAATTTGCAGGTGCACACTTAGGTCCCTTTTCAACAGTTTTACAATGCTGCTGCATTTTGTCAGCCTGTTTCACCATAGCACTGAATTCAGCATTGTAACTGAAGACATCTCTGCCATTATATCTGTAGGTCTATTAACTTAGGGCAATTACTCTGCAGAGAGGTGACAATTCCTTTATGGAAGTTATTGAATTTTGGTACTGCAAACACTGCATCAATAACAAAAGGCCAGTAAGAGAGCACAATGTACCTCCATCACTCAGAATAATTTTGTGGGGTTTTTTTAAACAGACTAATATATATTGTCTAACAGATAATTTAGGCTTGGAAATTAGACATCAATTTTTAATCATATTTAAATTTACTTTTCAAGGTAAATTAAAAACAGGAGCTACTAATTACTGGCTGGGTTGAACAGGAGGGAGATGGGGATGAGGGGGTGAAAAGGAATGAAAATGAGGGTCACCAATATGTCTTCTTGGAGTTTGTTGACCTTTAGAAGAACTCCCAACTGATTAGTAACCTTAAACATCGATAAATTAGACAATATTCACTGAACTCCTTCTTAGTTTTATTTAGTAGAGACTTCCAGCTTTGTTCACTAGGATGATTTCTGCTCTTTACATACATGCAACACTGAGTGTCTCTCCAAGGACCGGATTCAAGTTTTAGCTATTACCTTATGTCTCAATTTTTGGCTTTTTAGCCTGTTAAGTGTACTGCACTGTGCTTCACAAACCCACAACAGTAGAAATATCCTCCAACACTCAGGTCAGGGTAGGGAACGAAAGAAAATGGATGTTTGCTTTTCATCTATACATCATTTCAGTTTTGATTAAAAGCTGGTGTTAAACACCAGGTGTTACTCTATTAGAAAAAGAATTGAGAACATATTTTGGAGATAATTTTCCTTAGAGTTCTTATATTTGTCATAGCTCTGAAATCCAAGTTAGAGGATGCACAGAATCAGATTAAGGACAGAGATACTTGCCTCACCTGCAACTTTTCTATTCTCTGCCAAAATAGGGATGCTTACAATGTACTTACAATGTTCTGTAGAAATCTACCAGCTCCAGTGGTTCTCTTCAGAGCTTTGTACAGCCTTTGTCAGAGCCCAAGGATTCTGCCCTTGAAAAATGTTCATTCTTTTAAAAAAAAGAACTCTGGTCTTCACATGTTTTCTATGTCTATCTTGTTCCTATTCTTGAATGAAATTGAAGTGCAGTTCTCAGAGGGTACACAACTTCTGCCAAACCATCTCTCAGAAACAGGCATGAAGCCGCTAATGAAATCCACTGGAGATGTGCCTCACAGTCTGAGGTGAAAACATGACCTCCTGACAATTACTACCAGGCAAGAAAACATTGCAGAGAAAGCAATTTTTTGGGGGAGGGGGGAGCTAACTCTCTTCTTTAAAAATTTTGATTGCAGCTTGCCAGGAATAGGACAAAACAGAAAAAAAACCCAAACCCTTAGATACCTGTTATTTATGGAATAGATGAGGTAAAGGTTTTACCTGGTCTAGAAATCTTCATAACTTTATTAGCACAATGTAAAATATCCATTTGAGTCTTCCCCCCTCCCCAAATTTTTAGTTTTATTGGACTTGTTTAGACTATTAGCATTAGCCTAGCATCTCTTGTATCCCCTAATCCAAAAACATCCAGTCCTCAGTAGACACTGAGGGTTCAAGCTCACATGGATACATGTGGTTGCGTGAGCTTCCTTTGATCTCCTGCACCACATGAAACTGAAATAGCATCTGTTTGCAGGAAATAATTCTGTTTTGTAAAACCACATACATGGACTTCCCTTATAACTCCATATCACACAGGAGCAATGTTAATGGAAGTTTTGCCTGCTCAGGTTTCACAACAATCTACTGAATCCCTCAGAGAGATGCCAAAGAGCAATAAGGCACTTTGAAAAGAATATGAGTACTAAAGTAGTATCAAAAGAATGCTGTCATCTTGGGCATCTTCCTCCTCTCCTGCTTTGTCTCCACTGTTCATGGTGCATTTTTTACAAATCCAGCCTTTTCAACCTGCAATTTGTAAGCATTGCTTTATTCTTTATTTCTCTTTGAGAATAACATAGCTTTGGTCACGAAGCCTCTTTGTTTACTGTCCCAACAGAACAGCAGTGACAATAGTGTTTGCATTTTGCAGTAATCCCCACGCATTAAGATACTTCACACAAACAGCAAAAAACAGCTGCAGAGCTTAGGGAAGACAAACCAACCCCTGGCAGCTGGAGAGAGGAGGAATTTGGAGAAGATCCCCTGTAAACCTGAACAGATCCAAGTCACACACAAATGATCTCTACTGACTCTGTGTGACAACACCCTGCTGGTACACAGGATCTGATCTTTAGGCATGTGAACTCGCTGTTTAATCCACTGCAATGACAAATTGCTTACGTGTATCTTAACAAAGGTAAGACACGGTAGGCACAAGGCTGTGCTGGGCATGAGCTCCCAGATGCAGAGGAGCTAGATGGGCAACACTTCACCTGTATTGTCCACATTCCCAGAATACTGGCAAAGAAGTAACAGTACACATGAAAATTAAGTTCTTGAAAAGGAAAGATGGCACAAACAGAAACTTAAGGTAAGAGAAATATTTATTTAAATTTGCACAAGAACGAGCTTATACTGAACAAAGTCAATCAAGAAATAATAGTAAGTGCAGAAAAACAAGGAAATATTGATGACTTTTCCCATCAGAAAACATTAAGAAGCCATGCCTGTGCATCACGGGTTTTCTTTTTTTTTTGGGTTTTTTTTCTTGTTTTGTTTTTTTGTTTTTTACAATAACTTCTATCTTTTTTTTTTTTTTCAGCGCACATACTGTACATATCACATCTTAGCTGCTAGGTTCATTATTCCTGAAGGCTTCATCCTTTTACTCAAACATCTGCTAAGGTCTGCAGTAAGCAATCAAACACATTTGTGCAGTTCCAAATATGATTAGGTAAATCTGCTGCATCTGGTCAAGCGCTGGACTCTCAAAGCTTTGCAAGACCCTGTAAGAGCTCCTAGTTGATTTTAGATCTTGACATCATTATGTACAGCATTACAATGTGTCACTTTACACTAACCTAAACATTCTGCACAAGGATGCCAGACAGACAAATAGCCAGAAGACTTGGGCCTAACCTTATACAAAGGTTTACATCTGAGTTTGAGTCCCATAAATTTCACTCTGATTCAGGTAACCAAGTTCATCCCATATCTGCACTTCAGACAGACAAAACCAACCTAATTTTGTTTTAATTTTGAACAATTTTTGGTCTAAAGGTCTATTTCTGTGAAGGAAAATTCATTACGCAGAAACTGCTTGTGAGAGATAGTTGTTGGTGTCACAGTTCCTGAAGGCACTGTGGATCCACTGAGCAACAGACATGGCCATTCTAAAGGATGGAAAAACAGAAAGAAAAATTGAAACAATTTAAATTTTATACAAAACAAGTAAATTTAACAAGCTCAACTGTTTGCAAAAACCCATCATATTTGAACATACAGACTTGTAAAATACAAAACATGCACAGACTTGGATCAGATTCATGACATTGTCCTCATGTCCTTATGTTGCCCGAGGGAACAGGTTATTATGATTCCTCTAATTGCTTGGCTTGTTGTGGTCTGTGTCCCAGAGCTACAACTCTCAAACTGAAAGAAGCTGGCATCAGTGGAAGGAATGCTCCCAACATAAAGGTATCAGGCATCTGCTCAAATACATAAAGCTGTTGAACAAGACAAGGCACTTGGGAGTTTAATTCAGATCAGGCAGAAGGGATTCTGGGTTTTATTTAGCCCTGAATGCTTCAATTTCATTCATCTTGGCTGTAACACCAGCGAACATTAATCCATAAACTTTTTCCAAATAGTCCAGACATTCTTATGAGAATACTAAGGGCAATTAAAGGAACAGATTGCCTATGGACATCATTAAAATACGGCAGAAATCATTTCTGCATCTCTACTACTTCTTAAGTCTAATCCTCCAATGCAAATAAAAAATGAGTATTATTTATAAATTAGTCCAAATACATCCAATTGACTAAACCAACAGGACTTATTAAAACCAAGGTCTGAATAATTCAAGCATTTTCTTTCACTCCTTCTGTTACAGAAGGTTATAATCCTACTCTTCACCTTCTTTCCTTGGGATTAGAATTGTTTTTGTGGCTAAATATGCTTTAGCTGATGCCCAGGTTTCTAAATTCTTAAAGGATTTGTTTGAACCTATTTTGCTATAGCTTGTTTAGAGAGGCTTAGACTGGGGCTTTGATCTTCCCTGAGAAGCTTTACAAGAGAGGAGTGGGGTGACCCAGGGCGAAGGAGAAGGAGCACTATACTAGCTGGGCACACCACTACCCTGATCTGGAGGGAGTGGGCTGCTTGCACGCAGAACTGCAATATTAAAATGCTGGCAATACCAGCAGATAGTGTATTTCAAAATGAACACTGCTCTGTAAAGAGAATTGAACAAGATTTGGGCTTGTTTAGGGATGAAGTGGTTTTGTTAGGCAGTCACACCTGAGTCATTAAAATTATGGAGCTTGGCAGAGTATCTGCTTTAATCCTCGCTATGTTCACAAGGCAGCAATGGATTTGATCAGTCTGTGTACGTGTTTACACTGAATACAAATTAGTCAATGCTTAAGGTTCAGTCTTTGCTTAACACAAAAGGCCAGATGGGAGGAGCACTTAGGTGGCCATGATCAGAACTGATACATGCCTTCTGCACTGCCACTGATTAGCAGCACAACAGGAGCACACTTCCCATCACTTAGTCTCAAATGTGCTTTAGGGAGGAACCACACACAACAATTTCTTTCACAGATGGGAACCAGATGCATAAGAACCTTAGCAACTTGCCTGAGCAAAAAAGTAACTTCTAGCATTGGAGCTGGTGTATTGCACCAGCTACAGACCCCAAAAGTACAGCTTTCTGCCTGCAAGCCTGTTTTAACATCCTTTTGGCAGCAGCTGGCTTTCTAACCATTAGCCAGTCTGTCAGATCACAGCATTTTCTTCTATCCACTGACCCATTCTGCCATCAAGACAAATGCTGACACTTGCTTGGTGCATACCATTGCCCTTGAAAAAGCACCATGCCTCGAGAGCAGCACCTATTGCACACTGTATTGAGTCAGGCAAAGTAGAGGAGGGAGGTGATGCCTGATCACACACAATTCTCACAGAAGAAGGTGTTGAAGATAGATTTTTTTTTTTTATGCACACCTTTTCAATTAATTAATTTTACCATGTATTGGAGTTTGGGAAGCACCCTGCTTGGGAAGAACACAGAATAAAGCCCAAAATCAACTATGAATTTCAGTAATAATTAAAGAACTATGCATGAATCCTGCTCTCTCTCCTTGGCTGCTGTAGAAGCACATATTGTCACTATTCACTATTGGGTGGCAAAAGACACAATTCACTTAATGATCTTATTTTGAATAGAAACATTTATGTTAAGCTCTTTTTCTTTTTCATCCTCAAAAAGAGAAGCCAGAATTCACATATGCCAACAGCCATTAATTTTTCTCCTCAGACAATCAATTACTTTGAGTACAAATAGTGTTCTAAACATGTTAATTTTTAAGTACAAAAGCTATGTAACCATATAACTAGTCCTCTTATTCTGAAAACTATTACTATTTTCAAAAAGCAATTCAATCAGTTCCAGGAATACTATAGTATCACACTGAAAAATTTCTTGTGCAAAATTTAGGCTTACCTAGCCAAACTTGCATGTTTCCAAGATAGCATGGAGCTTGGAGCTCCATGTTTAAACTCTAATTGAGCTATCCTGGTGGAAAAACGTGTCCACAGCACTCTGCAGCATGGGCTGCTGTCCTGCTTCTGATCTGCTAGCACATCAAACCATGCTTCTAGCACTTGCAAGAGTACAGTTAACTGAGCTTAACACTTCTACTGTCATCTCTGCTGCTTTAAAACAAGCGTAGGCACCAACTGTTCACTGACCAGACTCAGTGCATGAATATTTATGTGCCACAGAACAAGCTGGGAAGAAGCATCTCAGCTTCATCTTTATAACCTTTATTACCTTGCACTGGCAGAGGGTGCACTCTGTGCCATGTTTAATCCACGAGGATCCAGTGAAGCGGATGACATTGGTCTCATCCAGACATGTTTTAGTGATGTCGTTGCGGATGGTGTCGGCTTGGCAGGGGTCAGTGACACAGCGAGGGCAGCACTCGTTCTCGGGGAGGATGCTGAATTCACAGTCCACCTCTGGGCATGGCAAGGGCCAGCAGTCAACTTCTCCTTGCTGTTTTCAGAAAGAACAAGATATTATTATTAGCTCTTATTTTGTTCCTCACCCATTCCTCTGAATCAGCATTATGGTTCCTAGCTGGCTACTTCTTCCCATCTGGTGCTGTTCAGAATTCAGCACAGAAAACACTGACATTCACTGACTGTGGGATGCACAGCAGATCAGGTGTTTTTTTCTGCATGCCATTCAGGAAGTATATTAGATTTAACTTAGCTCAGTACACTTTCCATCAAGCTGCAGCTGAAAATTCTCCATAAAATCATGCAGGATTGTGGCCTTTCCTTGTGAGACCCTGCTTCTGCAGAGAATATAAGTTGCAACATGACTGCAAAAGTGCCAAAATCTCCAGTTTCTTACTCACAATTTGGACTGTTGGCTTGCCATAGAAAGCCCTCAAATTTATATTTGCCATGATGACAAATGCATTGGCTGGATTAAGGGTGTCAAGCCACCAGCCGCCCAGTGCAATGGGGAACACCAGCCCATTTTCAATGAGAGGATCTCCACCCACTTACCATCCATTTGGGATACACCAGAATACCTGAAGTTCCAAATTTTATCACACTTTCTGCATGATGGGTTTAGTACAGTCAGGGTAAAAAGAGGTCCAAGCAGAGACTTGTGCTGGGTCAGCATATCCTTAGGGGAAGTTACTTTATGCCTGAACACAAATCTAAAGATGTTTAATGAATCATATAAATTACTAGAAGCTGGAGTCAGCTTCCCTTCACTCTGGACAAAGGCCAAAGTTGCAGATCTATTGGTCAAAGACTTCACAGAAGTCAATAATGCACTTTTTTTTTTTTTTTTTGGAGCAGGTCAGTCTCTGACTTCCAATTTATTCAGAGTTCCAATTTATTCATTTGAGCATTTAATAGTCTGGATTTAAGAGTGGCAAAAAGAACAGCATTTAGCCCTAGGAAATCAGTTTATTCACAAAAAATATATCTAAGAGTTTGAGAATGAGGAGTGCACTATCTCCAAAGCAGAAGATAAAAAAAAAATCACAGACACTTGTATTAGTTCCAAATTTCCTCCACTTGTTGCAGAAAGTATTGTGAAGTTAGTCTTTTAAAAAAATCTCATCTAGATCTATTTTCTTCTTGAACTGTGTGATGGTAAGAATGACAGTGATCTTTTAACCCAGTCACTCATCTTGATACTTCAATCTATTTTTTGCAGTGATGGACAGTATAAGGAGTAGACAATACTTTGTCACTCCAAAAAATCCATGATCACTGAAAGAAGGCCAACATTTGCTACAGAAGATTTGCAGCTTTGAAAAAGAGAAACATCTATTGAGATCCTAAACTGTAGGTTGGTTATTTTTTCATTTTTAAGAAATTTAATGAAGTACATGGTAATTTATTTCATTGGATTTTGGCAGTGCTAACACTGAAAGCATAGTCTACAGGAATGGGCCTCTGGCTGTTATTCATGATATCCTGACAAGCCAAAGCTGCTACATGGACCAGCCTTTATATTTGGAGATAACTTGTGATAGTTGTTTTTATCCCGGGATTTTCTCTGTCACAGACACTTCATGAGCAGCATTATGCAGAATACTTTTTGCTTAGACTCCAATGCCTAAGAGAAAGATACATGCCTAGGAAAAAGATGACAAGCTTTAACAGATGTGAGGTTTTTTCAAACTTCATTTCACTGTTTTGAAAAATGCAAAAAGTCTTATTATTTTTCTGTTACTCAAAATGTCTGAATGAATAATTAAGTTTTAGTTTACCAGCATCCTTGAAATTATCAGCTGTGATAATAAACACATATTTAGAATTTCCTTATAGAGCTCCATCAGTCTCTGAATAAGTGAACACGAGTGTTGCTCTTTAGGTGCCATATCCAAATGACCTCCACTCTGCTGAAACCACCTTCATGATTAAGTAATTTATATTATGTCTATTGTGTCAAAACACATTTTTGACAGAAACTGTACAATACTGACAAAAATCCAGGAAAACCAGATTTTAATTATACATGTTCTTCAGGGAAAATTAAGTGGATGCTAATGCATGAAAATGAAACTATTCACAGATCAGCATATCTCATATAATTTTTCCCTCCTGCATTTTTCTCTGCTGCTGTAATCAGGAACCTTACCAGACAGCGGCACTGCTGACAGTTCTGTATCCAGGAATCACCACTGTTATAGGAAAGCTCCCCACTCTGATGTAAACATTGACTGCTGAGCCTCGGGTCACACTCAGGACAGCAGAAGAGGTCAACAGTGGGATTTTGGCAGTCACAGACCATTCGCCGGCACATCACATATCCATTCTGATTTTAGAAGAGAGACACACAGCAATGGCAGAAATTTGCACAACTCTAGCCACACTTCAGCCAAAATTTTATTTATTACCGTGAGTCCAAGTCATTAGCAACTCACAAGTTTTCCACTACACAGTTTCTTTGTCAAAATACAATTCAAACCAGGCCAGAAACCCCAATACACACTCAATAAGAACCATAAAGTTCCCCTTTATCCACATCCTCCATTCAACCAATCTCAAGGCAACTCTCCCCTGACGTGGTGAAACCCAAGGCATCTTTCCCAAGGGTTAGATTTTAATGGATTGCACTAAGTTTGTAAGTCTCATATAGATGTTTGATGAATCTTGCCTTAAACTTCATAGAATATCAGGGTTTCATTGAATACAAGATTGGAGAGTGTCGAGGAAGATTAACCCCTCTGTTCTGTAATTACTCACAGATAGGTGATCTGAAATTAAACCATGTGCACTAAAGTTGAGCTGCTGAAATGCTCAGGATATTGGCAGCAGTGCTTTGGTCCTTCATATCTCCGTCACCATTTAGCTTGGGACCAAACTTCCCACAGCAAACATTTGAGAAAGTTAAACTGAATTATTCTGCAGACACAGAACCTACTTCTATTTATACCCACCTGCTAGAGATACTGGCGTCAGTCTCCAGCCCCAATAGGTGTCTAGACAGCTTATTTGCATGAAAATGCTGTTACTCCCACCCAGAGAACACAGGTGGCATCTCGGCTAATGAAAAAGTGCTATCATCTTTCTCCCAGTATCATATAATAAACTTCCAATGAATATTTTACTCATGCTGATTGGAGAGAGAAGCTATCTTCAAAACCCTGTGTAATGTATGATTTTATTTCTGCAGCTCCACACATACACCTCTGAGAAGGCAGCTAAAACAGGAATTTTACTTGAATCCTGATGCTCTGCCCTTCATCCCTACCACCAACTTGCAGGTGCAGCTACTTCCATTTGTACTGACCTGGCACGAGCAGACAGAGCATCTGTCATTCTCCAGCACCCAAATCTGACCATTGTGCTTGATTTTGCCTTCATGGATACAGTCTCCAGTGCAGTTCTTGCCATGAGGACATCGACAGTCATAGCCACCGTCCAAGTTAAAGCAAACAGTGTCATTGGCACAGCTGTGCCTTCCAGTTCCACATTCATCAATGTCTGCAAAAACACGCCAAGGAACGCTCTTAGACCGCATTCAATTAACAAAAATGTTCTTGTGGCAGTCAATATAAATGATTCTTAGCCATTAAGGCCTTCAGCTGAAAATTAATTTGTACTTCACCAGAATGGGGAGAGCTTAAAAATTCACAAAAAGTATTTTAAAAGTCACATCAGCTTTTTTTGATCATGTTTCGACCTGACATTTTGAGTTTTGCTAAGTGGATGCTATTGAGTATGGTAGATAGAATGAAGAAACCACAAGAAACATGAGAGAAAGAATATTTCTTAGCTCCCTAAAGAGCCTTGGTTTGTGGTAACCATACATGAGACATGTTATGTGAGACAAGTTAGGAAACTTGTTCTTAAAACCTTTTGCTGGTTCTGTGTAGCATATTTGAGTTCACTCGATGAGAATTTAATGTGAAAGGTGATGCCTGACCTGTAATCTCATTTAAGTATTCTTTAAATTTCATCATTTATTAGAACGTTAAAACTAGAATATTTTAAATATTTAAGTTGCAGTGACAGCTATAGCTCTTGTGCCTAGAACAGAAAATGAAGAAAACAAATTCATGTCTCCAGTGAATAAAAGTAAATGACTTTGAAACAAATAGATCCAAAAGAATTAAAAAGTACTTTAAAGGCCTACTTCATCAAGGTACACACAAGTGTTTTGCAGACAAGCTAGCAGCACACATTGCCTTTTAATAGAATAGTCTTTATTTAGCTTTTTTAGCTGTTCAAATGGAGAAAAATGATTGTTCAAACAAACTTCAAAGGGGCATGAAGTAAATGGATATATGCAATAAAAAGTGCAAAACAGAATAAAGACTAGAACTACAGTGATTGTAAATATTGAGATATTGAGTTCAACTCTAAATACAATTTCTCAACAGTATGGTCCAAGTTCTTGATTAAAGTTCATTAAAAATATTATTGTTATAATTAAATGTCCACCAGAGGAGTGAGGTAAAATAAGCAATATGGTCATGCATGTATCTTTCAACACCAGCATGAAATCAAATAAAAAAAAAACACTCAGCTTTAGGTTCATCAATGGAAATGAAACCTCCAATCCACCTCAAGCACATTCAGTTTAAAGCAAAATAATTCAATTACCATTTCAATTCCAAGTGTGGCTATGGTCAAAAATCCAAAAAAGTTAATAAATTTCTATGAACACGAATTGAGATGAAAAACAGCAGTGAAATTATTAGAACCTCATTTTACAAATCATCAGCATTTTGGGTTTCCTTAAATACTTTGTTCAGTAGTATCACCATAAAAAGAATTGCAAAATTACTAGGGCTTATGGGAAGATTGAGGGAAATATCATTTGAGAAGAAATGAAGACATGGATTGCTCATCTCTAAAAGAACATCAGCAAGAAGGGATATAAACAAAAAAATAATGAATACTTCAAAGAAGACATGTTGAGAACTTTTTTCTCCATATTGGCTAACACACGAGAAAAGGGACAGTGAATTGAACTGAATGACAACAAATTTATGCCTGATAAAAGGAAATAACTTTTCATAAAATGCATAAACAAACTGCAACACTCACTGCTATGGAATCCTAAGAGGCAAAGAACAGTTGCATAGCCAAAAGTGCATAAAGCTAGGAAGAATACTCAATTTTCTGTGCTAACAGATTTTGGGAGACAGATTACGTTTCATATATTAGAGCCCAGGGTTCACTTATTTATGTATCTGATAATCCAGAACAGGCAAATCATATCAGATCTCTACATCTTCTACCTCATTGCCCTCTGAGGCACCTGGAGGCAGTCACTGTTGTAACAGGGCAGAAGATAACTGGGACCATGAGCCTAATTCAGTGTGGCTGAGCGGCTGAACATCACTGGCACATCAGACAGGGAAACCCACCCCAACAGTCAGGGTACATAACCAGGGGTACAGGTGGCTCTGCAGAGCCTGTCCAGACTCTGAGCTTGAAGGTTTTCAGAAGAGGGGCTAACAGGAATGGTTTGAGTGATGCCAGTTAGGCCAGAGAAGAAGGATGGAAGAGCTGCTCTCTCCTTCCTATATTTTCTCTTAAATCCAGCTGGAAAGTAATATAATCTGGACATTTAAAATTAAGGTATAGCTGTTCTTAAATCATGCAATAACAAGAAAAGACACAAATTCTGTTTAAATATAATGATTCTGATTAACAGCAAGATTATCTTTATTATCAAAGTAACTTTTAACAAATTACTTTCCAAAACTTTTATTGTTTAGAACACTCTTTACTTTTTGAAAGTACATAACTTTCATACAGCTGTCATAAATTTAAAATGTCACTTCTCAGCAACCTAGATACTTAACAGAAGGCAGACACACTTAATAACTGGATGAAATTCAGCTGTCATGTAAATAAGAAAGGTCTCCTTTAAACAACAAATGGTGATCCTATAAACACTGACTCTGCTTTCGGCACATATATACCAGTCTATCTCACAATTTTCCCATGAGAAAAAGGCTTCTGAGGTTTATTTTTTAACAGAGTTACAGTAACTGAAAATAATGGGGGTTTCATCATTGACTCTGGTATTGAGCTGAGTTTATCTGGCATTGAGAACTTCTGGAAATTCCCAATCTTGTTTTTTTCAGTTGTTCGATTCATGAAAATAAATGTTCTGGATAGGACAATTTAAATATCCCTAGTCACAGAAGGAGCTATTTACATTTTGATTCTAACCTAATCAGAAACAGCAGTGTGTTTATGATGCAGCAAGAGAAATACTAACTTTTCATGCATGAAACTCTCATCTGCATTATTCATCCACATCAAACTTCAGGCATTATCAGCTAAGAATTTGCACACAAATCATCCATACCAAGCAAAATTTTTTTTTTTTTTTTTTTTTTTTTTTTTTTTTTTTACTTTAGACTTTTAATAGATGGTGAATCATGTTACTGAAATTGTGTTTACAGCCATAATCAGCTGTGGACAAGGGATACTGGGTGCTGCATCTTTCGTGTTTGTAAAGGGAAGATGGAAAGGGTAGAGATTGCATATTCCACTATATCCAGCCACAGAGCCATTTTATTGCTGTTTCCCATGCTGTTAACAGAACATACATACAAACAAACCCCCACCCCTCTCCCAAAAGAAACCAAAACCAAAATAACCCCCAAAGAGTCCCCCCACAAACCACTGAAAAACAAATGGTTCACTTCAGGCTATTTACAACACACTGCTTAAGAACCCAGCAGCTTGAATGAGGCAGCAAAAAATGGTCAGGTTGTCAGAGTGGAGACTGTCCCAAGGAAGTTCCACAAGAATATGTGCCAGAATGTGTGCTGCCCAATATACTTAGTCACCTGGAGAAATGGATGAACAGTGCAATGAGTAGCACTGTTGATAATAAAGTGTTAAACCCAAATATTTAAAGTGAAATATAGAAGTATTGTGTGATATTGACTGAGCAAACAATAATATGTCAGATGAGATTCCATTGAAAATTGCATGGGGAAATAGTGGTTCAAAAATCATCAGTCTTTTGGATGTATTCTGAGAAGATCTTGGAATTACTGTATATAGCTCTTAAAAAGTAGCTGAATTATACAGACAAAAGCCTCATAAGTGGCAGATGCAAAAATTCACCATAAACTCACAAGGAACACAAAAAAGGCACAATTAGAAAACAAACAAAAAGCTGTGCACACCTTGCTAGGAAGTGACAAAAGGCTCAGAGACCCGCAGTGATATAGGTGATGGAAAGTTGCAGCTGTCTGTCCTCTGATGAACTAAGATGAGAAGACACTGATAAAGTCCTAAAGGATCTGCCTGAGATCAGAATAATTCTGGTTTTGGTTAGACTTTCATCTTTGTAAAGAAAAGATGAACATTTTTGTCACTGAGAAATATCAGAAGAGATGGTTTGGGAGGGTGGAGAGTTCCTCTGCTCTGAAGCAACTGAAGTTTCTCAGTTACCTTTGCTCTGAGGAATAGCACTAGCTCAGCAAGGTAAAAGTACCAGGACACCTGAGTACTTTTTGGCTTAAGGCAAAAAAGGAAGGAGTGCATTTGCTAGGGAACCCAAGATTGTCTGAGAAGAAAGTTCTATTTCTGTTTTTTTCTGTCCTGAGTAGATCTATTGACTGGTGTAATCATTCTTCAAAGAGCAAGTGAATTGTAAATAATTTATTTGTGAGTTCCTGTAAGCCACCTGTGAGAGTGCTTACCAGATGTGAAAGATGAAGAGCTGAGACTTCAGATGTTGGTAACATCAGCTTGACAGAAATGTTGTTTCCCTATACAGTAAATGTGTTCAAATTGCTGTATTATAAAATATAGTGGTCAAGTTTCTGTTTTATCAATCCTTTCTTTTATAAAAAGACAAGAAACTCTGATAATTTTGTGTCCTTCTCCCACTCCAGAATATTTAAATAGTAATGTGTCTCCATATCTGCCTTCTGTTTGGTGATGCTTAAGTTGGGCTCCCAAATTTAATACTGAAGCTTTAATGCCTATAGTTCTATTCTAAGTCACTTTATTTACCTTTACTTAATTTTAAGACCTTTAATTATCATGAATAAAAGCAAAAGGATTTTGATGGAGCTTTGGGAGTGCTAGTGAGGTTTCCTGCTGAAAAGTAGTGATTTTTTATCTCCTGTTTCCCTTAAATGCTATCAGAAACAAAGCTTATGATAAACATTCAGTGTGGGACTCGAAACTGACAGTGGCTTTTCAATTCCAAGAAAGCACTCATGTACTCTCTTGTACTAGTTAAAATACTGGATGCAGTGTGAGATAAATTGAGACATCCTGACAGCCAGCAATTCTGCCTTCCAGATCCAGAGACATAGATGTTGGAGCGACTGTTTCGGACTTCACTCAGTCAGTCAGGCTGGGGAGCATACTGAGGCTTGTAATATGCCTCCATCCCTCATTATCCTGGATTGTTGAAAACAGACTTCAAGCCGAGCCTCAGCCTCTGTGCTCTCAGGCAGGCTGCTCTGTCACACAGAGAAGTAAGTGATTCTAATTCTGGAAGCAGGACGGCAGAAAAAAAATATAAGATACCTCAGAACAGAAAACCTAAATGGGAGTTCACATATGGATAAATCCTCACAACCAAAAAAGATTCTTTTATGAATTGGGCATTCTGGATTTAACTATCCAAATCTTTTATTTGCATCTGTCTCATTTAAAGAATGCAGTACCTGCTGAGATTGAAGGTAAATTGGTCTCATATTCTTCACTAACAACAGCTGGTACCTGACAGGTACTCTTGGTAAGTCCTAAGGGGCTGCCTTAATTAGGTGAGCTTTCTTTGGATCTGGATGTGTGCCAAATGTCCAACAACTGATGAGGCATAACCTGCACTATTCTGGTATGAACCGATATAGCCTACCTCTTCAGCTGATTATGGAAGCTTTGAGACATTGCAAAGGACAAATTCAAAGGAACCAGAATGTTACAAAGAACTGCAGGGCAAACATTAATGGGGCCTGAACTTTCTTATTTTAGGATTTTGCCCTGAGTTGTTCTAGTTTTTTTACTGCAATGAAGCCTGAGGATGCAATATCTGCTCCCTTAGCCCAGCTCTCTTTATGAAATGGTACATTAAGAGACAACCTTCAGTACCAATAAGACAGTTTAAAGAAACTATAAAAAAAAGCTGTTGGGGACGAAGAGGAAGATACCAGTTAATATATCATACTGAATGCTATATTTTCATATCTAAAGTTTAAAACTTCCCAAAGCCATACAGTCTCAAGGACTACATGGCTGATATTTCACTTTTGCTGGAAATACAATGAGGCATAACATAATTATATTTCCAAGGGAAAAACAGCAAGTGCTGCTAAGAGGTTGAAGCCCTACAGCTGCATTTCCCATGATTTCTCTCAGTAATTTTTATAGACACCATAGGTCTACCTAGGGGTATAATGTGAAGCAAAACTATTAACAAAGGGATCTCTAGGTCTTCCATTGCCTGTAGGTACAATAAAATAGGATTATGAATTTTTGCATTCAAGTACATTTGTCAAAATACTCAAAATTCTCAGTTGTGCCAAAGAAGCAGCAGTAGCCAAGGTCAATAGATGTGTAAAATAGGCAATTCAGTAAGTATTATTTCATTATCAAGCACTGACAAAGTCTAGTGTCACCAAGGAGCCCAGTTCTAGGGAGGACTATTTAGTGTGATGTCCGAAGAGGGGTAGGTGCAGCTTTGGAATTCTGTTAAAATACGGCTTTTAAGGAAATGCTTCTGTGCATCTGTGATTTTAACACAGAGGTGTTTCCATGTGGATTTTTAAAGTCGGAGGCTTTGCTGAAGGAAACAAAGAACTGATTACACTATCACTGAAATGATCTATGTGGTATTATCAGCACATGTCCAAGGGACACAAACAGACCCAGATTTGAGAACGACAATGTAGAACAATCAAGAAAGAAAGCCTAAATCCACACTTCCTTGGCTTTTACAGTTTTTTTACCTCAAAGAAGGAACTTACTTCAAAGCAAATAAAACTTATAAAAGATGAGTCAAGTCAAGCCTACTATGCACTCTATATAAAACACTACTTTGAAGTAGTTTGCATTGTTCCTTCTACAGCTCTGCAAGATGAAACACTTGCACAGGACAGAAAGTTTCAGAAGATGCTGGTCCTGGATAGAGTTGAAAGTGAGAATTGGAGAACCACGATTTGAAATTTGAGATTAGTATAGCCTGGAAGCTGCTGCCCTGTTAAAGTGACTGTCTAAAAGACCTTCCATCAACAGCTCAATCTAATCTCATCTAACCAGGGGTTACTGAAGAACTATCTAAAGCAATCCATTTTATTTTGTCTTTAAACCCAATAGGGAAATCTCTTACAGTGGGAAGATCTGACAGCAGAGAAGACGATTGCTTCTGCACTGCTGTGTTCTGCTACTGCAAGTTCAACTTTCCACACTGCAATGGATTTTAGGCTGTCTCTTCACACCATTTCTGGTTTTATTTTTATCTGAGACAACATGTCACAAGCTCCAATCCAATAAAAAGCGATGCAGTAAAACTAACCAAATATCTAACCTTCCTCCCAATCGAGGCCAGGTTGGATGGGGTCCTGAGCAACCTGGTCTAGCGGGATGTGTCCCTGCCCAGGGGGGTTGGAACTACGTGATCTTTAAGGTACCTTCCAATCCAAGCCCTTCTATGATTCTGTGATCTCAAGTTGCTGAGGATTCCAATGTTTGGAGCTGCAATCAATCAAACTGAAAGTGTTCTGCTGTTAGTCATTAGGTTTATCAGCAATGAAGATAGTTTCCTGGCATCTGTGATTTAATTCTAATTACTTGTTATCCTCTGTGTACGTTTAATAAAGAGCTGCTGGCTCTTTGTAGAAAAGGTCAAAACAGTCTAATAATTGCCACTCTGTATACATGTAGCAATCCTCACATTTCTTTTCCCTTGGCTTTTCATTTGTTTAGAAATTCCTGCTTAATTGATACTTGTTTGCACACATCTTAACACAGTCACTTTGCATCATGTATCTCTCCTGAGACAAATCACTATCTTTAACTACGAGGCAAATGTTATACTGACACTGAAGATAAAACTTGGGATATTGAGAATATTTCCATAAATGCCTGGCTGGAGTATTTATTCCCTGTACCATGAGTGATAGAAGTGCAATGTTATAATCACAAGGACAGCTTATTCTTTGCACCTTCCTGTCCTAACTCCTGGCCAGCTAACACTGACATTTAGCTAGTTCTTGACAAAGAAACCTCAACTTATGAAAGCAGTGGTTGCCTTAAATTGCTGATTCCTCCTGGGAATACAGGCTTTCAGCTGTGATGAAAATGTGTTGAAATTAAGTATTGATGATGGGTATACCAGAAAGGTCATTCTCACTCCTGGAGAACTGTCTGTGTGTCTGCCTTAAAGAAATTAATTCAAGTGCTTCCCTTTGGGACCAATGGAGCCCACCAATGTGAGTTTAAACAGCAATAAGAAAGCTTACACTGTGAGCACTGAATATTTCAGCACTCAGAGAAACAAGGGAGAAAAGGTGATAATTTTGCCCTGAGAGTTCCACAGGAAAAAAAAAAAAAAAAAAAAAAAAAAAAAGACTAGTTTGTTCTGTTATTTAAGAGAAGCATGAAATGTCTTAAGAGCGCTGAATTCCACACTAAGAAATCTGCTTCTGAAAAATAATTGTGTTCTTATTATTCTGCTGTTCCCTCTAACATCATTGATGAACACAGAAAACCTTTCGATCTCCTTGTCCCCCTTGTCACTCTCTTGTGCCCTACACCTTGTGCCAGCCCTGTGGCTACTGAGCTTCCTAGCTTGTAATGCAAGCTGGCAAACTGCAGCCTTCTAGAAGCAGTTAGCCATTACACAGGAGAAACACCACACTCTTAACCAAGGTATAGGTAAGGGTCTCAGGGATGCATAATCATGTTTTGCAATGGGAAATATTTTTATCATTAACTATTTCAGTGTACAAGGAAAACAAGGTGGAGGAAATGAGGTCTGTATTGAGGCCCATTTCTAGGTACAAAGAGTCTGACATATAAACAGATTACTGTGGAGTGACAGATTACAGTGCATGCTATCAGCCCATAGGAAATCACTTATGCAAGGGACAAGCACAGAAGCAGATGTAGGGCCAGAGAAACTGCATTTTAATCACAGTGCCTGACTTTATGTATTATGTTAGTAAAGCACAGAAATGCTCTACTAATGCTGTACATTGTAGGAATATTCATACTTTATTTTCTTTTGCCTTTGATGATGATGCTTATTTAGACTAATTCTTTTGGGTCAAGGTTTGAATTTCACTGCAGTTTTCAAGCCAATGCTTGACCAGTACAATCTGAAACACTAGACATTTTCTGGACACTTTCATATGAACCATAACAGTACCCCACCTTTTTTAAACACTGACCTTCACAGGATTCTCCACTTGGTGAAAACATCCCATTGTCATGGTAGCCATCTCTGCATTCACAGTGGTACCACCCAGGCAGGTTAATGCAGTTGGCACGGCTGTCGCACTGAACAAAGCCATCCGAGCACTCATCAATGTCTGTTTATTTAGAAAAACAAAACAGGAAACAATTCACACAGAGGAAATTGCTATATTCATCCAAGGAAAGAACAATATCCCTGGTGTTTCTGGGTTTCACAGAATTATTTTCATTGCTGACACTTGAATTTGCAGAATTTATTGAAGTTTTGAACTGTTTCTATACAAGTACTTGGGTAATGATTTTGGGTCTAACAGCAGCAGAGAATTTAGCAAACTCTTAAACAGATTGTTAAATTGGGATTAACAATCCAGATAATGGGTTGCTAATTCATTAGCAATTTGAATTGCTAATCCCAATTTACTGCCTACAAATTAACAACTCATTTTGTCACAATAAATGACAGGTAATCTGACATCTGTTTACACTGCCCATAATATGAAGAAAAGAATTAGCTCAGTTCATACAATAAGATGTTAACCCTTTGGGTAGTGCTGGCTGCCTGATAAAATAAAGATTTTTTTTCTAGGGGTATATAAAAATATTAAATATTTACCCTGGTCCTTGCTTATGCTTTTGGTGACACCAACTTTGGGTTGGAAGGGCTTATCTATCCTGTGGAGTTGCTGTTGATTTATACCAGCACCTCTGAATCTCAACATAGGTGACTGCAGGCTCCTCTCTAATCATCAAAAAAAAAACTGGGTTTCGAAACAAATACTTAAATCATGAGGGTGAAACACAACACATTCTCCCTCTCCTGGAAGTTGCTTTGGAAAGTGTGTCTCTTAAATTAACAACTTCCACTGCCTAAACTTTACAATAACAATTTATCATAGAATCAAATTTTGATACTCTCACTAGATCCAAAATCCACCAACGTATGTTCTAAAAACACCCGAACTCACAGATTTAGCAGAGATGCAGAGAATTTTGTGACATGTTCATTTCCAGTGCCTCCAGGTACACAGTAAGCTGTACTAAAGGATAGGTCACAGAATATGAGTGCTGCCAACAGTTAGGGAATACCAGGAGTATGGAGCCAAGCAGGAGCTAAACTGAGTTGTTCCCTGTCAGATTCATGCCTTATCACTGTGTCTTATTCCAGAAGTAGCATACCTACCTGAGCATAAGCTGACTGAGAGGTGCTAGTAGGACCAACCAACACAAAGACATGTGCAAACTGCCTTCAGAAACAAAAAGCTCTAATCACCCTCCACCATGAGTTTGAACAATGAATAAACTCCCAGTGTACTGGCCACAGCTAGGATTCAACCTTTCTTTAAAGGCTGTATCTTTAAAACTAAGAAATGAAGTAACAGATTGAGACTCAAACTCTTGAAGTACATCAGCAGTTGACCTAGTATCCTCTACAATGCAGATATGAAGGAGAGGTGTGATGTGACCAATGAGATACATGTGAAATATGTCAAAATTCTGCCCACAGTCCCTGCTACCTCATGAACTTCTATGTCATTTACTATTTTCATAGGAGAAAGTGTAAACTGTCTAAGAAAAAAAAAACCTGTGAGCTACAATAAAGTAATGAATCTCTTTTCTTAGAATAATAATGTGTGGCTAGATAGACATACTCTTGTCAAGTATTTTGTGAAAGCTTGTCAAACACAAACTTTATAAAACCCTGAGATTTCTTTATATGAGAACACTTTGCTCCACATTTGAAGGTAATAGAAATATTAGTGTGTAGGGGACACCTGCATAAACAGCAGTCACCCACATTTGCTTTTGAGTTGCATTTTTTTCAATACATGTCAGGGGGTATGTGGGATGTGCTCTGGGTATTTTATCTACATGCCATATAATAGTTTTAAAAATTTCTTTGGAATAACTGTACAACTGTTTCATGAGTGTTCTGGTTTTTAAAAGCTTTACAGATCCTTCAAAAAATCTCATTAGAAATTTTTGCTATCATGCATTAGTCTGATTTTCTATCAACAGTATCTCTAAACAGGCACCCCTGATGCACATTATCAGTATTTATGATGATAAAAATTACCAATATTCCTGCTGCAGTATTGCAGCAAGTGTATATTTTGCTGCTTTGTGCACCACAAATTAAGTCATAAGTCTCTATCGGTTTAAAACAGAATTTTCAACTCCACAATGAATTCCAAGATAATCATCTGAGTAGCTGTGCTGCAGGACTGAGAAATGCCAAACCTTTACAATCTTCCACTGCTCAGTGTGCTTCTTTCTAAATCAGTATGAACTCTGGCCTTTTTCTTGTGAGCAGCCAGGAGCCAGTGGGACCTCAGAGATGTTTGAGAGATCAGAGGAAGATCAATGAAAATTATGTTACAGTAGTGAGAAAAGGTTGGCTTGCAGTCTGTGTCTTATCTACTGCTACTCGCTCAGAAAGCCACAGATTACTCGTGAAAAAGGCAAAGAAAAGAAGAAAGGACTGCAAGCTGGCAGTTCTCTTACCACTGGGGAATATGCTGCCTGGCAGACAGCTGGCCAGGCAGAGCAGAAGTGACCACCCTAAACATTTGGGGTCACCTGGTCAGTGCAACAGAACTTGTTGGGTTTGGCTAAAGCTCAAACCCCAGAGAACCAATAGTGCATGTCCACTCAGAGCCTGAAGGAGAAGAGCTGCTGTAAAGACTCGATGTCCCTCTTCATACTGGTTACTTAATAACATTGCATTAAGACACTGGATGGCATGCGCTTCTTTGGGAAAGTGGAATGGATTTACTGGTGATGAGCTGGAGAAACAAGCATTATTTAGGTCAAAGTAACAGATATGACGTAAAGAAAGCCTGTGTTCCTCTCTTCAGAAGAATTTATTTGTGAATCTATAAGCCTTGTAAGTGTAAGCGCAGTATCGCACGCACAAGCGGAATGCATTCAGATGAACTCATTGATTATTCAGGAAAAACAAGCCATGAATGTCACATCAGTATTGGTAAAGTGACAGCAAAAGCAGCTTCTCTGTATTTATTTCCAAACTCGCTGATGAATCTGTTACACAAGAAGTATTACTTGGGATTAAACGCTTTATCCGACATCAGTAAACAGAGAAACACATTCTTCTGGTTTTGTTATGACTGCATGCAAAGTTGGATGTTACATAAGAAAGCCTTCCATCGTAAGCATGTATGGAAGCATGCCACAGGTCTTGAAGAGTGTCTTACTCCCCACAGATTGTTTGCCACTGCATTGGAAACATTGCTGCATCCACGCTGAATAAGCCATTACTCCTTTCAGGATTTTGCAGCAAAGAAAAGAAATCCAAAACACTTCTTACCACTAGCTTTTTGGGCAAATAATATGTTAAACACATGCCAGCAGTTTTCAGAATATAGATGTTCCTTACACAAAGAATTTTGTTTTAATTCTCACAGCTAATGCTGATTATTAATTCTAGTAGAAACATGCTCTGTAATCGAACAAAATATGACTATTGCAACTCTGTTAAACAAGAAAACGCAGCAGAAACATGTCTCACAAAGCAAAAGCACCAATTTCACGGAAAATTTTCTTGACATTTGGATAAAAAGATTTCTGTTTTCAAACAGGCGTAGCATGGCTCAGGAAGTGCTGAAAAAGTATCTACAACTGAAATTATCTTATTAGTATGGGAAAAGCAGACAGAAATAATTTTCCCCTGTCCTATGGTGAAAGCTTCTTCGATGAATCACCTTGCAGCTGCTCAGTGAGAGGTATGAGCTGACAAGAGAAGAAAAAACTGATTGAAGTTTTGCTTGCCCACTGGCTATAGTGTATCAGTGGGCTTTATAGAATATTAACAGCGATAATGAAGTCCTGTTTGATGCTGAACCAGGAAAGAATGGAAGATGAAATATTACTCTATAAAACAAGGTTAGCAAAAGGCTTTATATTTTCACTTATACCAGTAAGCCTTTCTTAATTCCATATTTTTTTACCCATTTTTCAACTCAAAATTTTAATTTTTTTTTTTTGCTGAAGCCTCACTCTAATAAAGTAGACACATAATCAGAGGCATTTTGAAAGTAAGAGCTGTATATGCCTAGTTCCCCCTGACATGAAAAAACCTTGCTTTCCCAAATACCTTCCTTATACCTCAGGATCACTCATTTCCTTAACTGTGGCAACAGTTTTAGCTATTATACCCTTTTCTCTTGGGAACATTGAGAAAACTCTGCTCCCTGAAGAGTAAAATAAGATCATTAGCAAATTATCCACTGGTACAAAAAGAAGAAAAAGAGAACAAGCTCCCTGATTCATATTATTAGAGAATTTCTGTATAATAAGTCTTACTGAAGACTGAAAGTGGTATAAAATTGCCAATTAGAAAGATAGCAGTTCTCTTTCATCCTACAACAGGACCAAGCTCTAATGTAATCAAGCTGCACTCGTTGCTACCATTTTATATTACTCATTTCAAGACTTAAATGTTAATCACCAAATCCTCCTCTTAGAAAAGCCTGCATTCACAAACTTAGAGAGACACAGAGCACAACACCTAAAATATTTTCTGTCATAAACTGCTTTAACCAGGTCAATACAAACCAAAGTCCTTGCTTGTCAAGAAGTCAACACCACAGACTGGGAGCTGAGAATACTTAGAACTTAGTTGTCTCCACACTGGAAGTTTTTCTGTGACAGAAAAGCTAGCTAAGACTAGTTGGCTAGGTAAGACTGCCAATTAATAGAGACTCCCAATTGCAGTAATCTGTCCCAGTGTTAATAGGGTTTTATCACTGGAAATGGTCACAGAGATTAATGAGAGGACATCTTCCAAAATGCTCAGTCACTCATGACTCAGGCCAAATTTGAGATCTCATTTCAATGGCAACATCCTTTCCAGCCTAATGCTAACCTTCTGAGCCATCCACATCCCAGCCCCATATGCAGTATAAATAAAGTCCAAACAACTGAAGGAAATAATTTCAGAAACAGATTACTGAAGAAAGGTTTAGGAGACTTTGAAGCTGCTTAAAGAGATAAATCTTCAATGTTTGGGGTTTTTTTGATGGGTACATTTGGAACAGTCAGACTCTGATATGCCTTTGCATATGTCAATACACTTTCAAGGATAATATGTCTGGCTTGT